ATCACTTCTGAATTGAAAACTATACCTTGTGATAAAATAAGTAAGATATAATCAGCAGCAGTGTTCTGAGTGTAAAAATTAGCAGCACTTCACAGGGATTCTAACCCTAGACTTCATATTGTTATAGTGATGGTCCAACCAACTCACCTTCCAGGTCGATGAAATCATTCTAGTCCAACTGTGCTACAGTTATATTTAAAATGAAATTAACAGGGGCTTACTGTTTATACGAAAAACGACAGTGCAGTGGGACAGGAAACCTTAATAGTCTTCATTGGTATTGGTAAATGTAGTGATACAACTGGATCCTGCAACTAGTTATTCAAATAAGTTCTGAAGATTTTTTAACTAAAGTGTTTTTCATATGGTAGTATTGTGTTTCTTTTTTTTTAAGGATGAATATTGTATTTCATTATTTTACAGGTTAATGCTGATGAAGGAATTCAACGAAATAACGACATGACAAACTTTTCTATTTAAAAAAAAAAAAAATGGGGGGGGGGGGGATTTCTCTCTGAACGTTTATATTTGTGTATCAGTAACCAACATAGTTTTTTTTAACAATATTTAAACAAGAGGCCCAATGGGCCTGCATCGCTCACAAGGTATAAAACTCCCACTTGTAACCTTAAAGTGATCTAAAATAAAGCTACAGCCAAAATATCAGTATTTATGATTAAAATTTGTTCAAAAGACCCTGTTAATTTTTTTCAAAACATTTCGCCCCTGTGATTGAAAGTCGAACAAAGTCATTATGTTGAACACATTGTATAGCCTTTCATCTCAGGATGAAGCTTGCAAAGTATAAACATGCTGGGACCCATGGTTATTCATAAGAGGTTGTTTAAAGATTTTAAACAAATTTGACCCCTGTGACCTTGAATATAATTGAAGGTCATTCATTTGAAAAAACTTTGTAGCCCTTCATCTCAGCTAGCTACTGGCCAAATATTATCACCCTGGGCAGTTTGGTTATTGAGAAGATTTTGTTTAAAGTTTTTAACATATTTGACCCCTGTGACCTTGAATATGGTTGAAGGTCATTTATTTGAACAAACTTTGTAGCCCTTCATCTCAGCTAGCTACTGGCCAAATATTATCACCCTGGGCAGTTTGGTTATTGAGAAGATGTTGTTTAAAGTTTTTAACATATATGACCCCTGTGACCTTGAAAGTGGGTAAATGTCATTCATTTGAACAAACTTGGTAGCCCTTGATCCTAGTATGCTGCTGACAAAATATCATCACCCAGGGCATTTTGATTATTCAGAAGAAGTTATTTGAAGGTTATTTAAGACAATTGACCCCCTGTGACCTTGAATATAAGTCAAAGTCATTCACTTTAACAAACATAGTAGTCCTTGATCCCAGCATATGCTACTAACTAAATATCAACATCCTGAGCCTTTTGGTTATTCAGAAGAAGTTATTTAAAGGTTATTTAAGACAATTGACCCCCTGTGACCTTGAATATAATTGAAGGTCATTCATTTGAACAAACTTTGTAGCCCTTCACCCTAGCACGCTACTGACCAAATATCATCTCCCTTGGCAGTTTGGTTATTGAGAAGAAGTTGTTTAAAGTTTTTAACATATATGACCCCTGTGACCTTGAAAATAGATGAAGGTCATTTATTTGAACAAACTTGGTAGCCCTTCATCCCAGTTTGCTTCTGGCCAAATATCATCACCCTAGGCCTTTCGGTTATTAAGAAGAAGTCGTTTAAAGTAAAATATTGACGCCGGACGACGGACGGACGACGGACGGACAGACGGACGGACGGACGACGGACGCCGCACCACGGCATAAGCTCACTTGGCACTTCGTGCCAGGTGAGCTAAAAAGTGTTACATGAATGACGTAACACACAGACTTCCTGGGCTTATTGCAAGATAAATAGAGAATGTTTCTTTCTGATCCAATATGGTGTGGAATTCCTGGCTATAATATTTTGGAGATTAAACCTTTTGATAGGCTTTATACTGTATAACATTGAATAATTCAACATTGGCTAGCCATCTTTAAAACTTATCATTTAATTTTCTGTCTTGAAATACAAGAATTGTTTCATAACTGATTTTGTTTTCAAACGCAAGAGTAATGACATATGTACAATTCAATGTATGATTGATAAATGAAACCAAAATTGTACAGTCATTTAATACTTACAACAAAAAGCTATGAAGCTCTGAGTTATCTCCCTTAATAAGCACATTCCAGTTCACTAAGTGTGACATCAGTTTAGTGATTTCCACACGACCGATCACTGATGCTGCCCCTTACCATTGACATGAGAAAAATTGCCATTGGACATACTTCCATTTCCTAGGTAAATTTGCATCGGGGTATAACTCCTTTTATCTATGACAAACTGCTAAGGGAAATAGCTCTACTTATAAATGTCACACTGCCACATGACATAACTTTAGTAATAGAACATGGCTTGACTTTGGCTATATGTACTTTATAAACAAGCATTTTGTACAGTTGAAAAACAAATGTTAAAATGACAGCGAGATGTGTAAAGTATAACTTATAGATGCGTATATGTTGAATGGCTTAAGATGCGTATATATAAAAGATGATGTTATTTTACCCTGTCACATTATAATGCAACTTACAGATTATAAATCATTTTCATTAAATACAATTATATTAAATGTTGATATTTCCCTACCTGTACTTGAAACAACAACAGTGATGTATGGCAATATATCAGTGCTCTCATCATCCTTAATGCAACAGGACAAAAACAAAAAAGCAATTCTCAATAAAATCAAGTGAAACTTTCACAATTCAATGTACATAATTGTAAAACTAGACTGTTTAAAACATTATCATATCCTAGATATTTATATACAAGGGAGATAATCTAAACTGGCAAGGGAGGTAATTACTCAGGGATGGCATTGTTACTGATGCCTTAATCAGTTACATATACACATTCACACATACTTACATGCATTAAGAATACTAGTAACTCCAAATATAGATTGTAGCATTTTGTGGATGACTTTCTTCCATCATATTCAGTTCAATTTTTCACCTATAAATTAGTATTGTGATTCATAACACTTAATATAAGTGACCATCTGTACATTGCAATTTGAACTCTATGTATACATTTCCGAAATACTTCATAAACTTAAATGTTCACCTGTCTTGTGTGACCAATTTTCACTCCCTTTCAAAACTATACGGTATCCTTATTTTGAATATAGAAAATAAGAATAAAATTATGACCTAAATAAGATAATACAACACATTTGCTATCAGTATTCGCCTGAACTTGCCATTTTCATAATTTAAGTTTTTACAGCTCACTGCTATGGCAGACAACACAGATATTTCAGATATCAAATACGTTTGTACACAGAACCCAGCAATGAACTTAACTCATTCACCCCTGAGGACACATTTGAACTCTTCCTATTCAAAAGTTGGAATAGTTCATTATGAAATTTCAGGGGTGAATGAGTTAAAGTCTTACAACGTTGTACATCACAGCTTTGCCCAAGCTTTTTCATTCCATATTACTAACACTGCAACTTCAAAGCTTATCAAAAACATTGTCATATCTAAAATATATCTTTATCACCATTGTTTCTGAACAATATCACATGATTTCTGCAAAGAGTCTTGTAGTACAACATTTATAGCACATCTGACAACAGCTGAAAACCTATAACTAGTATATACGAGAATCTGTGATCCCAAAAAACTACCTGGGCCATCCATATAAAATTGTTTCCCAACTCACATTTATTTCAGTTGGTAGGTATTGATATTTCTATTTTTAGACATCTCATATATCTACATAAAAAAGTTTCAGCACTTTTTCTGCAAAAATAAATAAATACTGACAGTTCCAAAGAGATATTTGAGTAGGTGCACTTTTTAGTGTGTCTGCAAACAAACAGTTTTTATAAAGGACAGCCCTGGCCTGATGCTTTAACTAATTCACCCCTGAAGACACATTTGAACTCTTCCAGTTCAAATGTTGGAATAGTTCATTAAGGAATTTCAGGGGTGAATGAGTTAACATGTATCAGCTAAGGTAGTTTATATTATAGTCTGTTATTCCAACAGCTTAGCTTTATGCTTTAACACATATAAGCCAATCTCCTGTGATGTGTAATGACCTCTTTCAGGTATTTTTACCTAATAATTCAGATAAATGTGTAAAAAGTTAATTGCAGCAAAAACATCACCAAACTTTGTGTACCACTTTCTGTTGAAGGTATTAAACACCACAAAATATTTTACAAATTAAACATAAAGATCACATTCTATAATCTTAAATACACTTTTGGCATTTTGAACTCTCATTTACTTTTCTGAGCATTATATTTAATCTTGATTTATTAATAATATGTATGTTTTTTTGTATATGGCATTACTTTACATGGCATTACTTTGTATGGCATTTTGAACTTTTTCAATATTTGAGATATTACAAAATTAGAACTTTTTTTTATTACATACACATAGTCTGCAGACAACATACTCAGCCAATTGGATCCAAAACAACCAGTATATGCATTTTCCTCAAATTCATACATATTACTCAGAACTGTATCGCTGCCGTGAGGCAGGCAATAAGACAACAATGTAGGCAGCAAATACCAGCTTTTGTCAAACAATGCATACACGTCAGCATTGATATATTACATTGATTGTCAGCATTTATCGAAGAATACAGTAATTGTTAGCATAATCGTATAATGCTGTGTTATTCCAACAAAGGTTTTAGTATCGCAATCTATTCACCTTTTTTATGTTATCACAATTACTAATGAACCCCACAAATATATCTGTTGACTCAAACTACGGTATAAGTCTAAGAAAGGCATGACTAGATTGCATGGAATTTATTTGAAATACATTATTTGTTTTCACATCAACACTACTGTCAAAAGAATTAAGTATTATATATACATTTAGTTATCCTCTTAAAAAATCTGTTAATTTTTGTGAGTTTGTCACTTTAATAATACATAAACGGTAACTTTGATAAAACTTTGAAGAGCTATGTTATTCTAAAACTAGAAAGTACCCTTCAACCTTTCATCTGCTAAAACGTAATTCAATTTCAAATAATCCTGGCACAGGTTTAATAAATGAATTTCAAACTTCAATTGTTGCCAGTTTCAAAATTTCTCCTAAAATCAAAATCTATATTTAACAGTGAAATTGATATCACATTACAACTGTACTGCTCCATATATGATGAAAACCCCAAACGTTTTTAAGTTATGCCCTGAACCTTCTCAGGATCATTCAGGATTCTATAACATATTTTATTGGATGATTATCAAGTTTTAAAGATTTAAACTTCAAGTTGGTGATAAGGTCTTAACCAGCAGGAACAAAATTCACCATTACTATTCAGACTTGATAGCTACCTCAATTGAGTTTCAATAATACCTTCCAGGTAGATGTAACTAAGAACTCTTGGTTGAAGGAAATCTAATTCAAGATATTAAAATTCTGAAGAAAACACAGGAATTTATACAAAAACCTATTAATTTCTTCAAAAGACTGAAAAATCCTGAATTCACATAATAGTCCAATATACCAGCTTCAAGTTCATAACCTTCTGCTTCCTCTCAAAGTCCCTCTGATAATATTTGAAACATCAGTTTAATACTTTTATCATTGCATTTATCAATAATTGCAGATAATTGCAAAGTAGGATAATGGCCGACTAATAATAAAATATCAAAACTGATAAAATTTCAGAGATTTAGTTTTTATAAGAGGCTGCTGACAAATGGGAGTTGTTTTCCCCTCATAATCCTTTTTGACACAAGGATAGGACCTAAGAGTAGAGGGTAATTTTCTTCAGCATATGTATGTATGCAACATTATTCTGTCCTTATTTGTCAAAGTTTATAACACATACAACAGATTTCAATAGAGGTTACTTTGTCTCAGTGATAGGCTTACAACACCATAATTGGATTTAACTAAAGAAAAAGTTTTTGTTTTTTGTGACGCATATTCAACAAAGGTGACAGGTTTTAACTGTAAATGGTAATTTTCTTCGTGATAGGTTTGCGACACATGTGACAGATTTTGAGTGCCTCGCCGCACTTGTTGCAGACACTGTGCCCACACAGGAAGACCATGTCTCGTCGTCGCTCCATACAGATGGTACACAGTATGTTCTCCTCCATCTCCTGTAGGCGGCGTTGTAGTACGTTGGACTCGGAGTCTGTCGACAGGGAATTACTGTTTATCTGTAGTTTGGTTCCATCTAAAATTACATACATTCAAGATGATCAGTATTGATCTCGTAACTTATGATATAAAGTAATAACAACAGAATGGTCTAATATTTCTTTGCTTATATATTCAAGATACTAAGAAAATAATTTAACTTCCTTTTCTGTAGCTTTTTAATCTCAATTTTCACACAGAATAAATATTTTAGAACATATTTCATACAAAGAACGATTTGCTGTCAAACCTTTTTGACAAGAAACTCAACATCTTAAATAAACACATTCTACTTTGGTTGTTTAAATAATGTCATAAACACTTTTCAGGTGAGCTATATTTTTTTATAATTCAATTTACTCTAGTGCTAACAGGAGATTAGAATTGTGGAGTTATCAAAATGTGACTAAGAATTGGTGTTTACATTTAATTAATTAGGATGGATGTTATTTGTATTCACAAATTACAGGTAAGTCAGTTCAGCGGGTCAGTTTGGTGATTTACTGTTTGTTTATAGCTCAGAGACAAGGGTCCAGTAGCTGAGGAGAAAGTGATAATGTCAAAGGTTAAGAGCTTTACTAGTGTGGTATCTTTAGACCGTAGTCCAGTCCTCATATTTCAGAAAGAGTTAGATATGAATAGGTATGTGGTCATTCTGAGGGATTGAGATATAAATAGGTGTGTAGTCATTCTGAGGGATTGAGATATAGATAGGTGTGTGGTCATGCTGACGGACTGAGATACAAATACAGGTGTGGTCATTTTCAGGGACTGGTGTATTAATAGGTATATAAAGGTAAATAGGGAAGGCATGTATATCTAATGAGCTGGCCAGTTACTGGTATTAATAGATTTTCTAGTCCATACATCATGGTCTAATTTTAGACACTAATTTTGTACTAGGTGGTTTTCATAGTTTGTATTTAGAAGAAGCTCTATATTTATCTAGTCACTCTATCTTTTGTTTATCTTGTCTTTGGTGATATTTAGTATATTATACAATTAACTAATTTAAGTCAGTCTTTGGGTATTTTAGTTTATGATGGTATTGGCTAAGTTTAGTCTGTCTTTGGGTATTTTAGTTTACGATGTTATTAGCTAAGTTTAGTCTGTCTTTGGGTATATATTAGATTACGATGTTATTGGCTAAGTTAAGTATGGCTTTGGGTTTATTTAGTATATGATGTCATTATCTAGAAATAGTAGTACTTATAAAAGGGATGTTAGGAGTTAAAGAGGGGAGTAAGTTGAGAATTAAGATTTAGTAGACAATGAAGAGTCACTTCCGAACAGAGAGTTTTGAGAAAATTCTGTAGAGAAGAATTAATGATGATTCGGAGAGTATTCTGTAGACTTGTGAGGAGTCTAGTAGAGTGATTTGTAGAGTGAAGATTTTAGTAGTTTGTTGAATTTAGCAGTGTATTGAGTAGTTTAGACTTCACTTATTCAGTTATACTGCTTTTGAATGACATTTTCAGACTTCCAAAGTTTGGCTTAACTATTTTATTTAAAGGAATTTCAGTCGACTTAATTTGATCTCAAATTTGATATTACTAAGAGCTTATTACAAAGTGTGTCAATTTTGCTTTGGTTATACACTTCACTCCTGAAGACACTTTTATCTAACAATTTACTGGAACTAGTAACAAGTACATTGATTTAATTTCTTTTAATAAAACTTAAGTTCACTTTATGAAATCCTGTATGTTGTGTTTTTATAAATTTCATTTGTCAGACAAACTGAACAACTGGACTATCATTAAACATAGAGAAACAAACAAATCATTAACCCTTTCACCCCTAGGTACCTTTAGTAGACTCTACCGTGCATTGATCTGGATGAGTCCATTATGGTCTACAGTGGTGAAAGGGTTAATCGTAACAGAATGACAGTAACCCACTCAAGATTAAACTTGCACTTCAAAAGAATTCAATTTTGAATACCCTCACAACATAATGGTTTTTTTTAAACATCAACAAGAACATCATCCTACAGTTACCTCTGGAAACCTTGGCCTCTATGTTGACTTTACAGGTCAGGCAGCGCTTTGGTTTCATACTACAATCCTGACAAGTGACCACATGTTCACAGGGCAGGAACTTGATGCACGCCATTTGCTCTGAACACACTACACATTCAATGTCCCCGTCACTGGCCTGCTGCATCTCGGATTTAGTGCCAGTCGCACTGCAAAAACAAAAAGTATGATAAGAAAATAATATTGTAATTTGTGTTTGAGTTATTTTATTCTTTTAGGATTACCTACCTCCTACCTCCCACATATGATAAATTTTAAGGAAAAGCCCTAAAACTAATATTAAATCAACTTCATGCCAAAATTGTTGAATAACATATGTGTAACTAATTAATGAACTAAGTTCATATGCATAAGTTCTTTTTACATATATTCTGGAACTCTTTGGAAAAGAAGGTGCTTACCATACCATATAGTATGAAAACATATAACCATGATCTAGAATTTTTATTAAACAAGTACCTGTAATGGTTTATCCAAAGATACTCAGATAGTTCAATAAGACTTGTTTTTTCATTAATGAAATCATTTTATTTTTTCAAAATATGTATACTGTAGAATCATATTTTCGTGGGGTGAAAATTTTGTGGTTTTCATATACTAGCCTATTTCAAGGACATTAAATTTCGCTGATTTCTGATTTTCCCCTATCTATATTACACCAAATATAAGTCTCTGCGGGGATTTAATTTCGTGGATTTTTGTTATCCACAAAATAAACGAAATTAAATGTCCCATGAATATTTATGATTTTAAAGTATTTAAAGATTTTTTGGAAACATAATTTTGTTCCTAATCCAAACTACTATCCATGATACTGTATATGACCTAATAAAAGTCATACACACATTGATTTGAACAAAATCAGATAGATTGCTAATTATTCCAAAAATTTCCAAAAATAGCCATAACAGACAATTTTTTCAAAGGAAGTCCATAAGTTATGGTGATAGGGTCAGGAATGAGGCTCTTATTTGGTTAAATACACAGTTTCAAACAGTAGAAAAATTGTACTTTGATGTGGCGAACTGTTTGATGAGCTCCTCTGTACGTGCGTCACTGATGACATCCATTGGAGTCTTGCCCTGGTGGTTTTTCTGGGTGAGTTTTGCCCCTTGTTGAGCGAGATAACAAGCAATTGCAGGTCCCATTTGTTCATCATCCTCTGTCATGCCGAGTTGGTGTCGGATCTAAAAAGATACAAACGATTGTCATTACATTAACTAAAGGACAATGTTTTATTGTAGGTTTACACCTTACATACAAGAGAACAAGCCCAGAACTCCTTGCCGCCTGCTAGCAGTAAGCCCATTCTCAAATCTCCAAGGGTTACACTCACTTACGTTCTTTGCACCCCTGGAATATATCCTGGCAAAATTGAAGGCCCATGGTTAGCTATTTGACTGGTATCGGGTGAAAAAAAATCTGACCAATCACTAGGCTGATACCTAGCCTTTGAAAATTAAAGAGGAGCAACATCGGACTTCTTAGACAGTCAATTTTACTGTTACAGTGCTACAAAGGATCAAACAAGTCTATTTGTATCATCCACAAGATGGCGTGTACAAAGTCTTTGATATTGTCATGAAAATATTTCTCGGAAATTTGAGGATGCAGTAATCCCAAACCGTATCAATCTTATCATCTACCACGGCAAGCAGATACCGCCTCACTAAATGAGAGTACATATAATTGTTTTCTAATGATATGCCCATAACACCACTACCTGTTACTGCAATCTTGGATTCTAACAGAAACAAGCCAAAGGATATTGGGCATCAAGGATTGAACTATTTACAGGATTCAGTTGTTTAAAACAAATGTATGAATGAATGAATTGAGAACACACCTGTTTTGATAAAAAAGAAACATGATGTTTTTAACTCTAGGCAAGGAGTCAAAAAAAAAAGGTAAAACACATACTACATTAGATGGATTGAATAAAAAATAAATTCCTATTTACTCAAATATGGAACGCCTTTTTTTATTTCATTTTTTGAACAAAGTAAGGGAGATAACTCACAGCATCCAGCATTGGACTATTCTCCTTCTCTGTCGCAACAGTCTGCCTCATGAGGGCGAGATGGAGACAGGTATCACCATCTTCATCCATTACATTGACGTCTGAGCCACACACCACCAGGAGCTCAATGATGGACGTATGGCCCTGCGATACCGCCAGTAGAAGTGGGGTTTGTTGTCTGTTGTTACGATTCTCTATATCAGCATGGCCCTGTACAACATAAAAATAAACACATCAATAATTGGACAAAAAATGTCTTATAAACTCTTTACCAACTTAATAATTGTGGAAAGTAAACATGATTTTATAACCAATACAATTTTACAGGGACTTCTCTCACCATATCACACGAGGTCCCGATAATTCATATCAGGCAAAAATTGATCTGTATAGCAAACACACAACAACCAAACTGTACCATTATTCAGTATCACTAATCTGCTTATTTTTGTTCTAAGACCTACTTGCGAAATAAGTGTATTTGTGACTTCCTTATGTCCATTGAGAGCGGCAAGATGGAGGGCAGAAAATCCATCGTCTTTCTTTATATCCACGATTTGTCGACACTTAGCAAGAATCTTCTCTGTTGCTCTGTAATGTAATTTTTCAAATTTAAAAATCTTGTTCTGATATCATGAGACTCTTACATATTTATTTGTAGTAGATGGAGCTAGTTTATCTGATGAGATACTGATACATCAGCTTTTTGCTAAGCTATTTAATTCTCAGTTCATAAACCTCTTTGACACAATACTATAAAGCCTTTCAATACATTTTTTTCTTTCATATCCAGTTTTTATTTTTAAAGAACATTAACATATTGTAGGATAAATAAATCCTTTTTACCAACAGGTCATCTTTTTGCATTGTGAATTACAATGACAACAAAAATTAATGAATGAGTGTAGGATGGATTTCTCTTGAACTTGCAATGCCAAGGGATGATTATTTTGTCAGGATCGTATAAATCGCTGGAGTATAAATTGTGTGGCATCTCTTTCAAGCACTTGTGGTGTGAGCAAGTCAGAGCAACTCACAGAAAGTGAGAAAAATATGTTTACAAAGGACAAGGGTCATTAAGGGTCATTTCAGGCCCAATCAAGGATTTAGAATAAGTTGTTTTATTCGTAATCTGGAATATGTAATGCACAATTTTGTTGTTATGACAGGGCTTCCATACATGTGCATTGGAAAAAATCTGCACCAAGAAAGATACCCCCAATTAACCAATATTATGGTTATAACAGAAATCGGTAAATAAATTCCAGTTGAATTTTTTTACTTTTATATGAGGCCAAAAATGACCAATAATGACCCAAGTCCTTTATGTGTAGGGAAAATCATACTACTGGTATGCTTGTTTCTAGAATGTCAACATCATTATCTAACATTTGTCATCAAGTGTTCTTACAAATTGTTCCCTTTCAGGGCAGCATGGTGAAGCACATTGAATCCTCTCTTGTTTTTCAGTGTAAAGTCTATGACATTGACGTTCACCAGCAGGTCAATGATCTCCCGATTCTCTTTACCGATGGCATCGTGTAGGGCGGTGTCTTCATACGAGTCCTGTGCATAAACAGTTTATTGTTAAAATCACTCATAAGCAAGACATGTGTAACAAAGGTTACTATTTTTTCAATGCCTCCCCTAGGAGTCGAACACGAGACCTCTGTTTTACTAGTTTTACCCTCTACGGAATGAGCTAAAGAGAAATTATCTCCAGCCAAGTCGGTAGGAAGGGGTTAGTATTTTACCAGGGTGGCATACTCCCCCTCCAAGTAAGAATGTGTCCTGAGTTTTCCAGGGGTCATAGCGATTCTTGTGAAAGTATCGCAGAGCATATTTGTCAATATTTCCCGGGTCCCTATGTGGGCACCATTGTAACGGAGGTAATTGTTTTTCAATGCCTCCGCCAGGAGTCGAACCCGGGACCACTGGCATATTAGTCTTACACTCTCTTGAATGAGCTAAAGAGAAAGTCTCTCTAGCCGAGTCCGTAGTAAGCAGCTAGTATTTTACAAGGGTGACACATGTTTTGATAAAAATGATACAATGTACCATAACCATTACACATGTTTAAAATTAAGATGCTTGTAAATAACTAATAAATGGGGATACAAAGATAATCATTTTCATAATAATATTTAATAAATACACTTTTCATATATTGAACAAATATTCATTCAAACATTGAAGAAGATACGACTGTAATTAAATAGTATTTACATTTTAAACTGCTCCATCTGACAGTGAACCAGTCTGTCGTCATATGATATAGATACCTTAAATGACCTTGGTTTCTTTCTGTAGTAAGTCGTGTAATATTAACCCTTTCACCACTGTAGACCATAATGGACCCCTCCATATCAATGCATGGTAGAGTCTACTTAAGTTACACAGGGGTGAAAGGGTTATCAGTATTACAAGACCATAGAACATCAGATAGTTCTGGTTTCCACTGTTCTGTCATGGTATACCAGATTTAAAATTATCTGTAATACCTGATTTGAAATCTTGCCATCTGAGGCAAAAATCTAGACCAAAATCTAGTTTTATGAGATTCTTATAAACAGTTTTCTAGACATTGGGTGCAAACAAACTTAACTGTAAACTCATTTTAACTCATTCACCCCTGAAATTTCAAAATGAACTATTCAGACCTTTGAATTGGAAGAGTTCAAATGTATATTCAGGGGTGAATGAGTTAAAGATGGATGAGAAATGTTTTTCAGCATCACCTAATTTTGTACAGATAAGGGTATTAAACCCCAAATGAACAATGGAAGAACATCTACCATCTCCCAATTATTTTATCCTTTCGCTTGAATTCCCTGATCTATAACTCACAATGGCGATTGAATTCCCTGATCTATAACTCACAATGGCGATTGAATTCCCTGATCTATAACTTACAATGGAGATACATGTTATCAATCTCCATGTGGAATTTTAGTCCCCAACACCAATATGTTGAATCAATACCTGTATGTTGACGTTGCACTGATCATGTGCGAGGAGGATCTTGACACAGTCGAGGTGTTGTTTGTTGACGGCCACGTGGAGTGTGCTGCAGCCACCATTGTTCAGGGCGTTTATATGAACCTTCTGTCTCAGTAGTAAACGCATCACTTCAGCCTGATTCCTGTTTTACATACCATTCAAACTTCAAAGAGGTGCAAGTTAAGTTTCGGGTACCAATAGCAAAATGAAAACATAACGTGATGATGACTTTGAACAAGAAAGTTGTAAGGCAAATACCTGGAATATTAATGGTACTGTAATATTTTGCATTTTTTTTAAACATCAGGGTTTTAAATACTAACCTAATTCAATGTTTAATTAGATTTCATTGGATTTGTAATTTTCATTGTTTTGACAACAAACTTCCAATAAATTTTTCTTTGTGAAAAGGTAATGTTCAATAAAAAAAAATGTGGTTTTCTGCCCGAGTTGTATAAAGCAGATTAACGTATAATTTTGAAGCACTTACCCAAATGCTGAATAGTGGAGAGCCGAGTCTCCATCTTCGTCCTGGAGCTCCAGATTGGCCCCAGCATGTAGCAGGATCTGTACGATCTCCGTGTGTCCCTGATGACTGGCCACCTGTAGAGCTGTCTTACCTGAACTCTTCATGTCCACCTACAAAAGCCATGTTAACTTGAATGCTATGTATTGATATGCATACAAACCGCACATAATATTGATCAATTATGGACTTTATCTGAGGTGAACATGCATTTATATAGACCTGAAAAGGATATTATAATCGAGACAATGTCGAGGTCAATATAACTTTTCAGGTCCATATAATCACATATTTACCAAAATGAATAGTTCTTAATTATTAGATATGAAATCATGCTGTTTTCTTATTAAGCAAAATAGAAGGTAATAAAATTGGCAAGAAAAAATGACTGTTTTAGGCAGTGAACATTGTACTGTTACAATTGAACTGACATCATATGGAGAATATTAACCTGATGTATCTAAAAAATAGTAACTTAAGGTTAAAATAACACCAACCTCCACGTGATTGTGATTGACCAAATGAGAATATAGGAATAAGTTGTGATTGTAAATGCTAGATAATGATTAAAGATGTTTATTTCATAAGCTATCAGGATGATCATAACTAACCTTGTCAGGATGTTTACTGAATGAGCTATTGGGATGATCATAATTAACCTTGTCAGGATGTTTACTTCATAAGCTATTGGGATGATCATTACTAACCTTGTCAGGAAGTTAACTGAATAAGCTATCAGGGTCATATCAAACCCTATCAGGATATTTACTGAATAAGCTATCAGGTTCATAGCTTACCTTGTCAGGATGTTTACTGAATATGTTATCAGGGTCATAGCTTACCTTGTCAGGATGTTTACTGAATATGTTATCAGGATCATAGCTTACCTTGTCAGGATGTTTACTGAATAAGTTATCGGGGTCATAACTTACCTTGTCAGGATGTTTACTGAATAGAATATCAGAATGATCCTAATAAGCTATCAGGGTCATAGCTTACCTTGTCAGGATGTTTACTGATTAAGCTACCAGGGTCATAGCTTACCTTGTCAGGATGTTTACTGAATAAGTTATCGGGGTCATAACTTACCTTGTCAGGATGTTTACTGAATAGAATATCAGAATGATCCTAATAAGCTATCAGGGTCATAGCTTACCTTGTCAGGATGTTTACTGACGATCTCCTTGACGATTTCAGTGTGACCTTGAGCAGCCTCCCTTACAAGCCTGTCTGGTCCCGAGTCCAAGGACTTTATCTCCATCAGCTGTTCCAACAGGGAGGTCAAGCTCACTGTAAAATGAAAATATGGTTTAAAATTATTTTTATTACTTATTTTTACAAAGGAAATCAACATTTGAGAAGAGTATTATTTATGACAATTGGATGGCTCTTTACCTACAGACAATGCAAGGCCACACTTACCCAGCACACCAATTATTAACTGACCATTCTGCCTGTGAACTATTGCCCTCTATTTTACTTTTAGGTCTCCATTGTCAAACTTCACATCTTATCTCTGACTTCTATAAACAAGATCAACACTGATGACATTTGACCTTAATAACAGAGACTACCACTGCCAGCAACCCCTGACCTTGACCATTGCTTAGAGTGCTAGTGACCCTGATGTTTAAAACTTAAACCACCACTTATTACCCAGACTTGATTAACCTAGGCTAACCCAAGTGACCCCAGACTTTTAGCACAAAACCAAAATATCAGTCTCTGACTTTTAAATTCAGACCGTAGTTGAGCAAAGGCAACTAAATAAGGCAACCTTTGACTATTATTACACAATACAAACAATCTGCCATGACTCTGCATATTATGAACACGGCCCTCAACAGGTGACCCCTGACCTATACATGTGACCTCTTGCCAATATTTACCCCCTGAAGCCTCCTCACGCTCAGGTGCCGCCCCATTGGTGTTGTTGACATTTGGCTGCGCATGCTGGGCTAGCGTACAACTCGCAGGGTTCAAAGTCCATGTTTGACCAGCAGACACAGACACTCTGAGGTCCCCATCCGGATAGACCTTCAGTACTCGACCAGTCTTCCCTAGGGCCTACAACAGGGAGGCAACGTTTGGTTCGCAAATAATATCACAAGATTAAATGAGATACAAGAAAATTTAGACATATGTCGAAAATTTATAACAGTGAACATTTTGTGTAAAAGAAAACTGGTGTATCAGCATTGAACCGAAAAAGCTTACTACAAATCATATTTTAGAGACGCTTTACAAAATTTATAAATCTTGAAATTAATATTGCTGCAATACATACATTGTAAAGAAAAGGCAGTAGATCATATACTGTTTTATCTACATGAATGATATTTAATACATGAAATTGGACATTTTCTTATCAGGAACTGGGGAAATGTAAATTAAATGATTAAGATTTTTTTGTTTTACATATATATCACAGCTTTCCTACTTTTATCTGCAAAGCTGCATACTACAGCCATCAATACTTCAAAAGGTCAACCTGTATATTGCAGTCAACATTTTCATCTACAAAGCTGTATACTTCAGCCATCAATACTTCAAAAGGTCAAACTGTATATTGCAGTCAACATTTTCATCTACAAAGCTGTATACTTCAGCCATCAATACTTCAAAAGGTCAAACTGTATATTGCAGTCAACATTTTCATCTACAAAGCTGTATACTTCAGCCATCAATACTTCAAAAGGTCAAACTGTATATTGCAGTCAACATTTTCATCTACAAAGCTGTATACTTCAGCCATCAATACTTCAAAAGGTCAAACTGTATATTGCAGTCAACATTTTCATCTACAAAGCTGTATACTTCAGCCATCAATACTTCAAAAGGTCAAACTGTATATTGCAGTCAACATTTTCATCTACAAAGCTGTATACTTCAGCCATCAATACTTCAAAAGGTCAAACTGTATATTGCAGTCAACATTTTCATCTACAAAGCTGTATACTTCAGCCATCAATACTTCAAAAGGTCAAACTGTATATTGCAGTCAACATTTTCATCTACAAAGCTGTATACTTCAGCCATCAATACTTCAAAAGGTCAAACTGTATATTGCAGTCAACATTTTCATCTACAAAGCTGTATACTTCAGCCATCAATACTTCAAAAGGTCAAACTGTATATTGCAGTCAACATTTTCATCTACAAAGCTGTATACTTCAGCCATCAATACTTCAAAAGGTCAAACTGTATATTGCAGTCAACATTTTCATCTACAAAGCTGTATACTTCAGCCATCAATACTTCAAAAGGTCAAACTGTATATTGCAGTCAACATTTTCATCTACAAAGCTGTATACTTCAGCCATCAATACTTCAAAAGGTCAAACTGTATATTGCAGTCAACATTTTCATCTACAAAGCTGTATACTTCAGCCATCAATACTTCAAAAGGTCAAACTGTATATTGCAGTCAACATTTTCATCTACAAAGCTGTATACTTCAGCCATCAATACTTCAAAAGGTCAAACTGTATATTGCAGTCAACATTTTCATCTACAAAGCTGTATACTTCAGCCATCAATACTTCAAAAGGTCAAACTGTATATTGCAGTCAACATTTTCATCTACAAAGCTGTATACTTCAGCCATCAATACTTCAAAAGGTCAAACTGTATATTGCAGTCAACATTTTCATCTACAAAGCTGTATACTTCAGCCATCAATACTTCAAAAGGTCAAACTGTATATTGCAGTCAACATTTTCATCTACAAAGCTGTATACTTCAGCCATCAATACTTCAAAAGGTCAAACTGTATATTGCAGTCAACACTTTTATCTACAATGCTTCATACTACAGCCATCAATACTTCAAAAGGTCAAACTGTATATTGCAGTCAACACTTTTATCTACAAAACTGTATACTACAGCCATCAATACTTAAAAAGGTCAAACTGTATATTGCAGTCAACATTTACATCGACAAAGCTGTATACTTCAGCCATCAATACTTCAAAAGGTCAAACTGTATATTGCAGTCAACATTTTTATCAACAAAGCTGTATACTGCAGTTGTCAATACTTTAATCTTTTCATCACTGTAGACCATAATGGACTCATCCAGATCAATGCATGGTAGAGTCTACTAAAGTTACATTAGGTGAAAGGGTTAAACTGTCAAGCTTTACATTGCAGCTGTCAATATTTTTATGTAAACCTGTATACATTGTACTACACCTGTCAATACTGTAATCTGTTAAACTGTATACGGCAATACGTGTATCTGTTATTAAAGAGCTTCAGTTGTCATGATTCAATACAGACATTTAGCTATTTTACAAAGACGAAATCAAAATAGGGGAAATACCTAGACACCTAGAAACTGCTGCTACTGATAAGTCCTTTCACCACTGTAGACCAAAATGGACTCATCCAGATCAATGCATGGTATAGTCTATTAAAGTAACATAGGGGTGAAAGAGTTAAGTACACAGCATGGAATAATGGTAAAAGAATCTAACTGTTGATACAGACATGGATGAAGTCATATTACAAAATAAAACAATGACTGACGTAACGTCACAAGGAAATGTTAAACAGTGAGTATACTGACCGGCCGCATGTTTTCTGACCATTCTCCATGACCCTTCTGTAGTTCCTTCACTATATGTATGTCCTGCGATATCTTTACAATGTCATTTAATGCAAACAAGTGCACCTGAAAAAATACAGCTTCAAAATGAGTTTGCATTTTAAGAAATGTCACTGAAGGATAATTAGTATTTGGTTTTCAGTTTTAAATCAAAAGGATTAAAAGAAAATGAATGTGATCAGATATTTTTTAATGCCTAAAGATTTCATAATTCATCTGCATGAAAACTTCAATTTTTCTCTTTTGTTCATCCAACTGGATGCATGTTTATCTTATTTTTGTAATAGATCCATTTCTTTAATAAGGATTAAGTCTCATGCAGAAAACTTTCAGCAATAATACAGTTTTAATAGTGGTTAAATATAACTGGAATTTTATGCTGCATGAATATGAACCTTTTTATTAAAATATTACCTCATGAATGCAAAGTTGTATAGAGTAGGTGAACTATCTTTCACCATGATTTCGTTTTACCTTGGTCAGGGCTCCAGCATGGAACGTCCATCGATTACTACATCCTTCATACTGTACCCTTACATCCCCGCGGTCTGTGATGCGATGGACTGACCCAACCTTGCCAATGTACTGAAAACAAATCAAATGATGTTACTTCTTCAAACAAAATAACATTACTCGATTAACTTTAATCAATCAAAACCATAAATCAATATAGTATTAGTATTGTACATAAGTAACCTTTGAGGAATGTACATACAGACAAAAACTAAACACAAACCCAAGAACTACTTTTTAAAAGCTTTGGAATAGGATCCAATAAGGGGCAGAATTTGTAAACACGCTACCTGTCCCCCTGACTGCCTGCAGTATTGAGTGAAATGTCTCTATGATTTTTGACAACTGACTTTGCTGATGCGGCACATGGTGGCTCAGTGAGTTGTTGTCAACTTGACAAAGGTAACAGACATTTTCGACAGCTCGCATAATAAGGTTTCAATTCCTGTTTGTGTTCAAAACAAACTTATCCTTTACTTTTGAAAGTATTGTTCGATATCCCCCCCCCCCCCCCCCAATGGTTGGGGGTTAAAACTCGTTTCATAAATCTCATATGAAATTGAAACTCATGTAAGATCCTATACATCTGTTATTATATCGGAAAAGCTACCAAAATTACAATCTGCAAATGAACATGTCCAACAGACACACAGAATACCCCCATATCATCAGTGGAGTTAAAATACATCCTAACATAATGTAAACTTAGCTTCTTTTTGCCTGAACTCATACCTCTGCCATTCGTGGATTCCAGCCACCATGACCTTCCTGCATGGCCTTCAGGATATCTGCTTCTAGGTCAACCTTGACCTTGTCCCCGACCTTGAACTGACACTGCACACCTCCTGAGGTCACTATATCTGGGAACTCTCCTGCAGTGTGGAGTTGTGATAATTAAGTTTTGCAAAAAAATAAACACTCAGCAAAGTTCAAGAAACAAGATAGTAATTTGCAACAAATATGACACATTATAATCAGGACAATAGACACTTTTCAAGATGTTGGTATCAAAGGAAAAGACCATGGAAACATTATTTTTTTCTCAAAATATTGGCAAAAATGTTAAGAAATCTGATGAAATGTACCTTGAAATAATTCTTGAGATATGAGGTTTATTAAAATTGTCCATAATTATAAGCTTTTGTTTTAACCATTAAATGCAACCTTAAAACCCATTGAATAAATTTCAAATGAGGGTTGAGGAGGACATCGTATTCTGTGATTTCTGCCAGTCTATTAGAGACTGTTATGACACCAATCTACACATACCCAGTACAGGAAGGTGCTCCTTGTAGTAGGATGGTCCGTTGGCAGCACTGATATATTTCAGGTCTACCTTGCCCTTGTGTCCTACACGGTAAACATTGGTAGATCCGGACGTCCATGTTACGTGGGCTACACTTCGCCCTGATTCCGAGTCCCATCCTCGTATATCTGTCACCTTGCCTATCTTTCCTTCCCCACCTGTATGGGTGTGATTTATATCAATACATACCATCATGTTCAACAACTTATGAATGTATCATGTTAAGAAACTTCAATAAGTTAACAGAAGACTGGGATATAATCAGCAACTTCACTTCAAGGTTTACATAGTTTGGCCCACTAGGTTGGGTCATTATCAGAATACTTTAACAGTTTTTAATAACATTTATAGCTACAACTCTTTAATTTTTCTGGTTACCATCATTCTGACCTGAGAAACAAGACCTGTTTTTGGACAAACATATCTTACTTGATATATATATCATGAAACAAATGTTCAGAGTTACAGCATAATTGATAACATCCACAATTTACAGTTCACCTACAAGAAAAAATTCTCTGTCCATAAGTTTTTGAATTATTTATTATAACGGCAAAAGATATCTAGGACACTAAATATATATGCTTTGTACTGCTCCCTGCTATACTCTGACAAGGGAAGCTTACCATCCTGGTTAGCCCAATCCCAGTCTGGTCCTCGTAAAACCCTGGCCCCGGGGAAAATTCCCCAGGATTGGATTTTATTACTGTTCACACTATCCTTCCTTTTTGGCATTTTCACTCTAAAAATAAATAAAGCATTCATTCTTTTTTTATAACATTCTCAAAACTGGAACCTATATTATATAGCTAACAGATTGAGTAAATAGGAAATGTTTGTGATCATATAAAAATGCTTCATGTATGTCCATGATGTGTTCTTATATATATGAATAAATACATAGAGTAATTTTCTATTTCAGCAAAACAGTTTCATTAAGTTTTAGATACATCTAATGTTCAAAGTCTTAGCAACACCATTTAGGTTTGGAGAGTGAATTTGTTATATTTCACTAAATATTTGTAATAGACAACTTATATATAGGCTCCTACAGAATCGGAAAGCAGTCTTCCATGTTCTCAGCATAAGGGACAATATATAGGAGTCAAAATGTGACACCTCTGATTTCCATCTTTTCATTCCTCAAATCTATACTATTGGTGTTTTTTTTAAATATAAACTTTCGTTATTTCAACTTATATTAATCACTTAAACACTCTTGTTGGTCTAGATGTTAGGGTGGGGTGGGGTGGGGGGTGCGGAGAGAGGGGGGTTGGTGGTCTGATTTTGGGAGGAAACCAGAGTACCCGGAGTAAACCCACGTGGTTGGGCAGGTGACCCCATACCTTTAATTTTTCACGTCCGAACCCCGGCCACCTTGGTGAAAGTGCCCTATCCACTGCTTCACCTGACTACCCACTATTGTTACTATTACTGTCGTTCTGTGTATTCTCCCTTTCCACCAATTGTCATATATGACCTTAATCAAAACAGTGTAATATCACAAACATATAAACATGTACATACCCTTTTGAAGGAGATGTCTCAAATCTGAGAAAGGAGTGGCCTAGGTCGTGTTTGTCCGACATGTAACACTCGGTACACAGGTCAAAGTCGTGACACTTGGTGCACTTCCACCGCATTCCCTGGATGCCCTGCTTCTTACAGCCATCACAAATGATGTTCGGATGTTTTACACCTAAAACAACACATTTTATATACATGGTTACATGTCAACAGCAATACAGTTAACAAATTATTGTAGAATCTTTTTAATTTAAACACTTATATTTAACTTTCCAGAAAATACATATATTCAAACTGGTTACAACCCTAGCACCAGGTATGAAACCCCTTGCTATAATCAAGCCTGGGTTCTCAAGCACTTAACTTTCTACACTTCACAAATAATTGAAAAAATTTCAGAGATTATGCTTGATAATTGCAAAAGATACAAAATAACATGTATATTCATCCACAAGAAAATCAATAGTGATAAGCTTAGTGAAACAAGGAAATAGATGAGAATTTTATTTTGTTGATGTATTTTACATCTGCGAGTAAGAACAAGATAGCTAAATCATGACTGAATCGAAATGTGATCTGTGATAATAATAAAAGTTATATTCACAAACCTGTGGGTGCATTGTCCAGAACTCGAAGGTCATAGGCGCCCTGATAACCCACTCGATAATTGGTGCGAGCTCCAGAATCCCACTGAACTACAACAGTTTTATCTGGCGAAGTGGAACTGCTCGGCTTGCCTATTTCCACCACTGTGCCAACGTGACCCTCTCCGTCATCTTGGTTACCCCATTTCCAGTCTGGGCCACGGACCGCCCGTAACCCCACCTCCATAGCCTTGGAAAGAAAATTGAAAATCAGTCAATGTATCAATGCATTAGTGTTGCAAAATACTTCATATTAATTTATAATTCCGAAAAAAACCATATTAATTTTGGAGAAATGTTTTAGTTATCTTTCTTAATGCTAAATGTTTTGAGCAAAGGAGACAAATTTAGAATCTAATTACAATAAAATATGTGGAGAAGTAAGTAGGTTAGATATGCTAGTAATAAACATTTGAAGGTGTGGATTTACTGCAGAAAATAATTTGATTAAGCATGGTTGAGTAGGTGATAAAATGGAAACAGAGATAAGTATAGTTGGTTCTGTGAAAAAAAATCAATGAAATTTGTCTGCATGGCATTTGTTTTATATGTAAATGTATGTTTATCAAGCTGTCAACTCAGCTGGTATTTATATGTTGATCTTATACAAATTTAAATATTATCAACTTATATTCTCTTTTCTTTGTATTGCAATAATTTCTAAAGGTTTTTTTCAGCTAGTCCCAGAAACACAGCTAACTTTGATAAAAGAACAGATTAAGTTCAACTTGGAAAATAATTTGGACCTTGATATATATACCTGCCACGAACTCCAACTTAGATAAGATATATATATATGCCTACCAATACAAACTCCTTCTCTGCTTCCATTTATCAAGTCTGTCTCCCCCAACCCCCGACATTGGACATTTATCAGTGCTAGGCCTACTGTGTGCATTTGTATTACTTTCACATTTATTTGGATTATACCAATTAAACTATAAACCAAATAACAATTATATGTCACATATCATATACAATGCCTCCAGTAAAGATCTATACCTTTATAATGTTTCACTCTTATGAGTTGTGCTGCATGAAGAACAAGAATGATCAAAAGTTTTGTATTCAGAGGAGTTTAAAATTTGCTAACTTAACCTAATTCACTTTGTAGTGTTAGGCTCTTTAAACTATTGTTGTTGATCTTGGCACAATATCTGGTTAACAATTACTTTTCCACATCAAATTGATAGATGTACACATGTATAGAACATACATAGTACAGTTGGTACAAAATCTTTTTGGAGTAGCCACTGCTTCAGAAAAAAATAATAGTAGCAGTAGGTTTCCTTGACATAAGGCGGACAAATTACAGGCGTTTTCCTTCCCCTCCCCCCTTCAAGCCCCAAAATTAAACCATTTTGCCCCATTTTTGTTCAGATTGCCCCAATTTACAGTTCATTTTGCCTCATGTTTGACAACCATATCGCCCAAAAATTTCTTTTTTGACCAAAAATCTAAATACATATATGTCGCCTCAAGAGCTAGCAAACAATATACTAAAACTGGTGGTAACTCATGTATTTTCAGAACTGGTATTATTTCCTTTTTATTACAAATACCCATGTTTGTGTATTAAATTACAGTCTCATTAAGTTTATATCTAAAGGATAAAGAATGAGACATTCAGTCTGCTCTTTTGAAAGTGGTGCACTTATTACCTAGTCCGAATTATTTTGACGTTTTATCGACTTCTTTTTATATAGGTCTGGCGTCGTTAATCAACACCAGACCTATATAAAAAGAAGTTGATAAAACGTCAGAATAATTCGGACTAACTTATTACCTTGCTGTTCAGTTGACTAGCAAGTTCCTCTGCATAATCAAATATTCCATGAATATTAAAATCTGTTCTTAAAATATCAGCATTTAAAGATATGAAACAATATTAGCAAAGTCAGTATTCTTACAGCACAGGTGTTTTTTTAACAACAAGTCTCTATATCTAAAAGTAAACTACCTCAATAAAACTTTGCTAAATGGTCTATTATAGTTAATCAGGTTTGGAATTTAGGGTTCAGGATTTTTTTTTTAACCTTTCTATATGTTCTGAATATGTTAACTGAGTTTTGTGTTACTAAGTCCACAGGTCAATAAACCAATCAGTATGATTGATGACTGAATGTGTGACACAAAAAATCAAAATGAAACGTTTTTGTTTATGTAATTATGCAACTTGCAGAAACATCTTAAAACGAACATTATTTTTTTAACTATATGCTGATTAAAACGTTTAAATGGGGAAAATGAAAAGTTAAAACATTCAACAAATCAACTTTTTGAATATAGCATCCAAAAACACTATTGAACGGTAAACTAACTCACAGGATATTAAAATTGAACAACAGATTGTGAGGGAAAATCAAATGCCCAGATCACAAAATAGATTACATGCCACTCAAAAAATGCATTGATTTTTGGGTGATATATGTTTTTTTGGGGAAAATAGTTTTTTTGATACATATGCAGCGTTATGGTTTCGAGTGTGTCTTGCTGTATAGAGTGCCATAGCTATATATAGGTAGTACACCCAGCTGACAGTCCTGTAGTGTAAATAAACTTTTAATAGCTTTTAACATGCTCGAATACCATATAGTGAAAATTCACCTGCGGACTCATCAGATTGAAGTTCTCAGGGTGCTCCAAGACTGGAAGGAAATTCTATCAACAGAACAGAACAGTATGGCGAAATTGTTTGGGTAATATGAATCAATTTTGGGACGTAACAGCTTGAGGCATTACAGTTTTGGGGGTGAAACATTTTACACTAAGATGGACCTTATAACCTCACACTAACCACAGGGGCACGGTTCAATCTATATCTGAGGCTGCCTTGTTTACCATATATATATACATAATAATGTTAATAGTTATGATTAACAAGGAGGCCTCGGATATAAATTGATAAATTGAACTGTGCCCCAACTGAAATAAAGCCTTTACTTCAGTTGGGGCACAGGGGCATGAACGAAGAGTGACTAAAGGCTATCAACATTTAAAAGAAAGTCATGTTATCTACTTCAGGACATAAAAGTAATCTGACAATGAATGAGTCCCAACTTTCTAAACATAAGTTTCATTTTGAAGTTTTACACATTATTAAACATCCTCATTTATACTTGACATAAAATAATCTGTATTGCGTTTCATTTTTATGTGTATTCTATGATAATAAAAAAAAATCATTTGTTTGATAACATTGATATGAAACATTCTAAGAAATCAAACATTTCTTTTTGCCCAATTCTTCCAAAAAAAATCTGTGTAGTATTGATCACTGGACCGAAAATGAAAATGCCCATCCATTTCTGGTATAATGGTAAATAATGTTCGTGGGAAATCCTATTTATCTATAAGAAATGTAGACTAATTAGTCCAGCATATGAAAAATATGATCGCAACAAGGCTGAATAAATTTACAAAAACAACATCCCGGAAAATCCGACACAAAATATCTGACAAGAAATGACAGACAACGGTGAACCCCTTCCATAAGGTCAAACCAATATTGCAATAAACTCGTTTCAGTCGTTCTAGGAGAGTTGTAAATAAACTATGCTATATCAACAGTGTACAACATATACCTGTGAGGTTACAACAATGCGACTCCTTCGTCAAAGATCCCGTATTTCTCAAAACAGGACAGAAATCTTTCGCCAAATAAAATCTTGATATTCCAACCGGAAGTAGAATAGGTATTTGCACCGAGAGACTATTCACTCATTTTATTTGCCAATATAAAATGTAAACAAAACAGTTAATCACATTTATCTAATTTAAGGATGACAGGATTACTACGTTTTAAGGAAATATATTCTTAAACAAAATGTTACAAATTTTTTTTTTTCTCTGTCTGATATTTCTTTATAGGAACGGGCAATCTGAAAGGATTGTTTATCGCTGTTCCATTTTGTTGGTTGTCACCCCCTATATCATAATAGAAGTTATAACCACAATACGTTCATATCAAAATTTAATGCATGATTTAGCAACGCATTGCAAACAATGTCGACAAATTAGTAATGTTTGGGCAAAACAATGGTATTTATTGATATATTTTAATTTGTGTATCGATTAGTCATCCCAAATCACAAGCACCTGCTTTACTTCATAAGCAGGACTTGTCGTCACCGTAGTAAAATATCTTCAAGACATTATTTATCTAGCATGAACGACATTTCTATAATTGATTTTAAAAAGAGATTATATACTGAGTGAAAAAAAGTCTAAGAGATATTTAAAGCAAAAACTATGATAAAGTTGCATATATTTTCGGAATTCAGATTCTTGCCTCCCGTTAGAGCCTCGGTCTGACATCAGTCTTGGAACACTGAAAATATTTGGACGCCATCTTGCAGAAGATAACTGATCATCATTGTGGGATTTTCCGTGGATATCTCCTTCCTTCGGGATGGAGGAGACTAAAATAATTTACTACATCGATGATGAGGATACTCCATATTTGATAAAATTACCGATACCTGCCGATCGTGTCACTTTGGGGGATTTCAAGAATGCTTTGAACCGTCCAAATTATAAATTCTTTTTCAAGTCTGTGGATGACGACTTTGGGTAAGTGATAAAACGAGACATTGAATTTGATCGACCGATTTTAGTATTTTAACACTCTTAGATGTACTATATATTTACGTATAGGTATGTTTTAACGACAACATCGCTGTTGATGTTGCATTGGTACCCTTTGTTCGTGCTGCAGAAGTAGACATCGTCGGCAACTTTATTAAGTGCAAGGTCGTTTGAAATCTGTGATACAGTGAAGAAAAAGTGGAATATCACCACAGATGAGTCGGGTTTCCATTGTTGAGTATCAAAACACGATTTCAAAGAAAGTATGAAGTGTTATTATAATACTGTTTGAACTAAACAAACCATCGGCGTCCCAGTAAACACCCTACGAGGCCCTACATTTGTGTTTATTGTAATGTTTTGAGTGACAGGTGAAAACTGGCGGTGAAAATGTGTGTGTGTTAGGGGGGGGGGGGGGGGGGGGGGGGTGTATCATTAAATTATATATCATTAATCAACAATATTGACATGTTATTTCATGACATAAAAGAACACTGACATCGACATTACTATAAACACCTACAGTTTAAGTTATATTTTGAAGATCATGTTGTAAGGAGATACAGAGAAAGAAAACCTCAGTGTATTTTGTGAAGGGACATTGGAAATAGTTTTGGGGATTATGTCTGCGTGTAGTGTGTTCAATTCAACAACAGTTTTTGGAAAACATGCCAATACATAGTCCAGAAAGCTTGAGACACCATCTAGTAATTTGTGCTGAGATGGCATTGATCAGTATATAGTGAAATGATTAGTTTGGTTAACGCAAAGTTGTAGATGATAAATGTGACAAAAAAAGAATAAATGTTCCTATTCAAAAAGGAGTGAACACACTGATCAGACTGCTATGAGATAGTTTGATGTAAATGGATAAGTAATAAATGGAAAGGAAAAGTGTTGAATTGCTTATTTCAATATTGAACTGGATTTTTTGTTGTTAGAAGTGATGATTAGTAAGAATTCTTCAGGTGATTCCCAAACTGAAATTAGCACATTTTTAATGGAATATTTCTGACAGTGACCCAGCTCTCATGATGCACTACAATTTTTATTGTCAGCTCCACAGAATGACAGTTTGATATTGGAATATTTGAATTCATGTTTGAGTTATTGACCAATTCCTGAAGATTTACTATTTGCGTACTGAACAACACATCACTGTATGCTATATATATATGTCGTCAGTGATAACTGCTACATCACAAGAACCAAGACCCAGTGTACGTTATATTACATAAGTATGGTTTTCAACTTGAAACAATAAAAATGATGCCAGTATGTTTTAAATTTACAATTTGTATTCTAAAATGAAATTGATGGTGTTGAGTCCCCTTTTCGTAATAAAAGTTAAAAACAACTTCAGGGTCAGTGCTACTTACGTATGGATAAGTTATTTGTGTGACGGGAAACAAGTAGTTTAGGCCTTGATTGAACATTTACATACATTTCTGTTTTTAAGCCCATCATCATCAGATGGTTAGCTATTCAAATCACACTGGTCCGTCGTCTGTTCTTAAACAATTCTTGTTATTATTACTGAAAAAAAGTCGGCTGTAACTCTTGTTTTTTGTTTATTTGTGAAATGTGATGAATTCATGAATAATTGACTGTTCATGTACTTAATATAGTGAATAAATGCATTACATAAATATGTAAATTTTAAAACATGGGACTTGGCTAGATGCCCAGTCATAACAAATCTTTTATGTTTACAAATAAGTAAGGAAAATAATTCATGAATGCATGTGATTTTGAAGTCAGATATTGTTGCCAGTCATACCACGTACATGTAACAGATCTTGACTGGACCAATCAGCAATGACCAGCTATAGAGCACAGTTGGTAGATTGTCTCTCAAAGTGCACAGGTTTCAGGTTCTTTAATTTCTTGATCATCTGTCAAAATCATATGGATGATTAATTTAAGTGATTCTTAAGTCTTTAAACTGTGTGCATGTTATAAGTTGGTTGTAATATATATATTATTTTTTATTTCCAAAATTTCAAGTTCACCTTATCTTCTAATGGCCTTTTTTTTATTTTGCAGTGTTGTTAAAGAAGAAATAATTGATGATGAAACCCGATTACCCTGTTTTAATGGACGAGTAGTATCATGGGTATGTATCTTTAATTGATGATGAGACCCGATTACCCTGTTTTAATGGACGAGTAGTATCATGGGTATGTATCTTTAATTGAGGTATTAATCTCCTGTTGTAAATATTCTTGTGTTTACCCAGTGATTTTGGGACACATTCATTTTAAATACAGGACTCGTGCTTTTCCTGTAAGGCTCACTCCTGTCTTCAAAGCCTGGGACTCATCATTACTTTGAAAATGATGCTGAGGACTCGAATATAACAAATACTCTTTTCAAATTCAGAAATTGACATGCATTGCAATATGTAAAGATACATATTGGAATGCACATTCTGTGTTAACGAACACAACATTAGTTTCAGTTTACAATATATCAAATATTTGTTCATGTTTTATGTAAATTTAATTAGGTTTGCTATTACCATGTAATTTGTGATTGAAATGGGGGAAAAATGTGAATGTGTGGGTGAGTCAGCATTTCCCTAGCAGGAGTAGTTGTGTCTAGATCATATGTATACACATGGTTAGTATATATTGTCTAGGCCTGTTCTAGTGTAGTATTTCATCCAGCTAGTTCTTAACAGTATGCCAGATTCTGTTTTTAAAATATCCCAGATTCTGTTTTTAAAATATCCCTATTACTGCAGAAGCTACAAAATTGCAACAGTTGATTTTTTTCCCATATTAATATGCGCATGATTGCACCAACTGCGGATTTAGGGCTAGTTACATAATATTTGACATTCCAGAATGTATAAGAGGTGTTCTGGGTTTCTCTACACTGCTAAACATTTCTTTTTCCAATAATCTGGATAGAAAACTGTACCCTATTTCTTGGATCACACTTCAGCAGCTGTGATTAAAATTTGTAACACATATGACAATGTATGTGTGTACATCAATTCAGTGATTATAATTAGCTGGTTTATATGATACAGAATATTTAATACTTCCAGTTTGTATGATATTATGTTTGTGTAAATTTGTGTTTAAGAATCATTAATGAATTAAAATTAACAATGCAAACAATTATTTACACATATATTGTAACCATTGTTAAGTTTATGCATTGAGTGATACTATATAGAAAGATGACCTGGTCTAAGTGAAATCACGTGTTCGTGAAATAAAAGTACTGTAACCTGCAGTATTTGTTGTACAAACATGTGATCTTTGCCCTAGTAATAATATAACAGACCTGTTCTACAACAGTAGTGTGGCACAGTGATTAACCCAAGATTGTCAGTCAATTAGACAACTCCATAAACTCACACCATTATTAATTAGTATAATGCAGGGGTTCATCTTGATAAGGTGTGGTATTGATGATAAAAACATTGCAGCATCATTTATGAATCATCACACAATACTGTAGCAACCCCTCTGCTGAAATGGTGGAATCCATTTTGAAGTATGGTTGTGGTCAAACTCTAATTATAGAAGAGTGCAATGTTCGTGTAAAGGTAAGGGCAACTAGTAGGAACACCAGGTGGTTTATAGTGAAACTAGACATCATTGGGATGTTAATTGGAAATATCTGTTTTTAATTCCTTTGATGCCATGGAGAAATCAATAGCTGGGTCATGTTGGGACCAATCATTGTACTAGGACCACTTTTGATAACTGCTAAATTTCTTCTATAATTTATTTTATGGACAGATGATATCACATGTGGGAGATAATAAACTGATAAGGTGTTAAATATTGTAAGGCCAAATAAATCATATGTATGTTTCCTATTCCAATACATATATATACGAGGAGAAAAAATCCTGTCTTCCTAAAATATTTATATTTCATAGCCAAAATTCAGGAAATTTAGTATGAACATCCAAACTTTTTTTGTAGAATTCAATCAGTTAGAACCACTGAGTGAGAAACCACAGATGTTTGTGATTGGTTAAAACCGTTAAAATCAAATTTTATTACAAAATTACATAATTGTGTCTATAAATTCTACTATTGTTCCATGTTACCGGCATAAACATCTTTGAACATCTCTCTAATAACTGACGATGCTGAGTGCCCCACCCCATACTTTTCATTGACATCATCATCTGTATATATATAGCAATTGTTTCCTATATTCTTTACTCATGTTTTCTGTGATCAATGTTCTAATGATCACCCAGGCAAAAAAATAAAATGAATATGTTAAAGTTGCAGTGGTGAGCACATGTAATGTCGGTTCTAAAGAAAGTAATTTCGGAAATCTACCATCCACCAAAAAATCTGAAATTATGTTTTGTCTACTTAATGGCAAGGGTTTGTAGCAGGAGTGGAAGTCCTGTAGACATCGTCGGAAACTTCCTGTAGCTAAATTAACGTACACGTGTGTGATCACAGCACAGTAAGGGCAACTACAGGTCTGAGAGGTTTTGGGGGTATTGAAATGATACAAATCTGGAGGGATGTAAATATTTTATGCTCAACTTGAAAGGCTGGTGTCTAAGCCAGGGCACTGTGGTAGGTGCTGTGAAGCTACTGATCGTATGGTAGGTGCTGCAAGGCTACTAATCGTACAAGTTAAGACACAGCATTTTTATTGTAAATACTTTTTTTTTTGCTCCTAATCTTTCTATCATAGCAAGGTAATACCTTATCAAGGCAAGTCTGCTCTTAAGCTTTAGTCAACCTCTATGTTTTCATACTTTTGAGTAAATATATTCAAATATTGATACATGTTGATCAGTATTCATTTTGTTGTAAATAGCTTATTACAACAGAAAAGTATTAAAAGAAATTAGATACAGGTATAAATTAAAGATAGGCTATACCTGTCATTGACCTACTCCAGGTAATGCTTGATTAAACTGTCATTTAATGAAGTTACAGTCTGGTAACCATGTTTGTCTGTCTGCCAACAGAGTTGTACATGTACATTTGTAACTCAACAGAAAAATATCTACATATATGTTAATACAATTTATTAAAAAAAAAAACAGCCATTCATGTTTGAACATTTCATGCTTAAAAATGTTGTCCCCTAATTCCTAATTACCAGGCTATGGATAAATAACAAGGGAATAATAAGGACTTTCTTTCCCTGAATTTCAAGATTTTGTGATGAAACGTTTAACCACCTTTTTGTGTTTTGAAAATAAAATAAAACTTAATGGATCCCATTTCTTTGAGTTAAAAGATCATTCTTAAGGAAACTACATTACAGGCCCTCCATTTGCTGAATCACCAGATATAAAGAAAACTACTTAAGTTGTCATTCTGTGGTTCTGTTATATATATTATTATAAAATTCTCCATTAAATGTGATTCCTAGGTACATTTACTTGAGCAGTAATTCAGTTCAGTTTCTAGACGTTCATTGTCACCTCCTGGCTTTGAAGTTTTGCTTTATAGATGGCTTCACCTAGATCGAGATATAAAAGTAGATAGTGCTCCCAAACAGTCATATTTAGTATCTCCTCGATGTCTGTTTACATTCACAAACTGTTTTGATCCTGTAGCTGCAGTTATAACTCACCACTATCCTGGAGCACTGGAGCTTACAGATAGACCATTGAACCATAGGCAACGAGATGTATTTCTCCAGTAAGGTTTCAGTATGGAGCGCAGCAAATGTTTGTGTAATTCTGGGGATCCTGATGTAAAATTTACATATTAAATACACACTTCTACGATCATCAAAAAGTACGCTATTAATATGTCGGTGTATCAAGTATTGTCAAGATTTTTATTTCTGTTTAATCATTGAACCGAATGATTTCTCTGCAACACATTTTGTTTCTACTTGGATGCTCCTATGAAAATGTCCAACAGAAAACATTGCTGCAGTAAATAGACATGTTTATGTATCTAATGTAACGTTCTCTATTTTTTCGTGTTCTTGTAAAATGGATCACTCATCTGACATGCAGTACAAACATTGCTATAGTGTACAGATGTTAACATTAAAAACACTGGAGATTGTGTATGTAAAGAACAAATGAAGCAAGGAAGTGTTTTCTATAGACTGGCATACTGACAAAAGCTTTACCCCCAAAAAAAGTAAGACACATGCCCCATACTTATAAATGAGGTCATGATTCTGTTGCAGTAATTATGATGCCAATAAAGAAAGCTCCCCTCCCAGGAAAAGTGGTGGGGTGAATAGGACTGATTTAAATCATTAGGGAGAGATCTTTTTTGCATGTCTTTCATCAAGGTTTCTTTGAATGTGAGCAGTAGATTTGTTCCATCACCCCTCCCACCTTCTCTACAGAGGTAAAACTGTTGCGGTAAATATCTGTAGGTTTTGATGTCAATAAATATACCATCTATCTGAATATTGGAAAATAAAGTAACGTTTACAGGGTGTGGCTGAGATGCCCTGTAGGACTTCCAGGAATAAACACAGCACTGCCAAGACTGCAGGCATAAGCCAAGGTTAGAAACGGTGGAAAGAATTGAAGCATAACCACAAAATTTGGCATTATAATGCATGAAAGTTCAACATTCATTTTCAGTTCCTCGGTAGAAATAATTTAAAGAAGTTTGCTTTGCTGCTTATCTAGGACCCTGCCAGGCAACTGTTGTTAAATTAAATTGTTATTAAAATTGATGTTTTGTTACAACATACAAAATCTCATTGTGCTTAAAATTGACAGATTTGATCGAAGTATTTGGATATTTAAATGTACTGGTCAGTATGTAAAAGTAGTAGCAATGTCAATGAACTGGATATATATAACTTCTCATATCAATATTAACAATTTCTCTCTAGCATCGTGTAAGTATAGTTACCATACCAGACTTACATATAGAGGGTTGTTAGGTACATTATACCTTGTCTATATTGGGACTAATGAAAAGATTGTCAGAATAAGTACTACAGTATATGTACACATATCAACTTACATCTACAATTAGGGAAGTTTTGTGGTCTTCCTAGTTATTAAAAAAAAATACAGTTGTTCAGATTTCTTTTGAAAAAAAGTAATTTGTGTTAAAATCTTTCGAAGTTGCATAGAGAGATATTATAAGTTGTGGTTTCATAATTAGTTTACATGATTAGTGTACATAATTACACTGTAGTCATTTCCTCTTCCCCCAGGTGGTTGTTGAACCAGTGTCTATACTCTAGTTATAGGGATTTCATGAAAAGTGCATAAGGAACAATGTGAAAGCCGTATATTATTCTGTTGTTATACTGGATTAACTCCCTTTGTGATCAGGATGTCAACCTGACCTGATGATAATAGTACATATTCAAGATAAATGTAGTATCTTGTGAAAAATCTAAATACCTTCAATTAAAACCAAATGACATGGCGGGATAGTAGACCAATAAGTACTTAATACAGGTTTAGAAGTTGATGGTCTTAATTGTTTTGGTAGGTAATTATATTATAATGTAATTTCTGTCTGAAATCACCAGAGTTTTACATGTTTGTCTGTCCCCAGCTGTGAGTACAAGTAACTGTATGTATGTACAAAGTCTACAAACAAATAGAACTGGACAAAGCTTAAGCTCTAAATTGAGTGTACTAGGTAATCTGTACAAAACACAACATTGGATTTAAGCTCAAGTTGGACTAGAGACACACAAAAACTAACATCTTCTGGCTAGGGCTTATGTGGCTAGCTTAGACCTGGTGCCATTGTCACCCACAGTGTTGAAGATCGGTTAATAAAACATGTCTGACTTCACGTAAATAAAGTGCTACATTCTACATAGGGTTGAGTCCAAACTAAATGTTTAGGTAACGTTGTGTTTTTGTTTTATTCAGCTTTATCCAAATTATTGTGTAATGGTCAACATAATGTTGCATCAGAATTTTTCATTCTCGTCAAATACAATCCAGGATTAAGAACTGTAGATAAGACAGATATAAATTGGTATTCAATACAGGTGAGGGGATTCAGGCCGGCGAGTACCTTTTCTTTGGCAGGATATGAAATGAATAACTCTCAAAATAGATGTAGAAAAAAATAAGACTTAAGTTTACTTCACTTTTAATGATTTGCCCTATAACAATATCCTTACAATATTTGGAAGTACATTTGAATTTGAAAAGATATCTTTTTGCAGTGCTAATATAACTGACACTCGTTAATTTAGGCTATGTAAGACAGATTAAATGCATGTAGTAATTTTCTATTCTACCACATGAACATGAGCTTGATTTATGTTATTGAGACTTATAATTTATACGGTACATTTAAAAGACCATCCACACATGTCAGAGGACCAACAAAGAACTTCAAAATTTATATTAAGTTTGTGTTACCTGTATTTTCATGGTATTGAATGACACAGAAAACAAAAAACAACCATGCTTATGGTGCACTTCTTGTGATCATTTTCTTTCCTTTTTGTTTGTGTAGTTGACATTGAAGTTAGCATGATAAAAACACTATTATCAGTAACATTACAACCATACACCATCTTTTGGGTAAAATTCAAATTTTACAAGGATTGTATTTCCTACACAGTAGTCAAGATAATTTTATCTTGTGTCGATCAGTCAAGGTTTCATTTTCGGTACAAGTGGGTATGGGTGTCCATTTTATGTGAGCCCTGTGTTCATTGATTGTACAAAGCAGTGATTAATGGCAGGTCTTCCTCCATTTAACAGCCTGTCAGTACAAACAAAGCTAATAATAGCTCTCTTTTAATGTTACATTTAACCTCATCACACCAATCACCGGTAATGGGAGGGTCCAGACAACAGAACAGGCATGCTCCATTATGGAACTATGGGTGTTATTACCTGGGGTATGCAAGATCAAAGGCTTCCTCAATACACTAGGACTTTGTAGTATGGAGGTGTAGCTCTACCATTACTAAGAGGGCCCACTGATATGAGGTAGTGATGTCTGGTTAGCTTTAATTTGTAGTATAGGTAGGACTTTGTAGTATGGAGGTATAACTCTACCATTACTAAGAGGGCCCACTGATATGAGATGGTGATGTCTGGTTAGCTTTAATTTGTAATATAGGCAGGACTTTATAGTATGGAAGTGTAAGCTCTACCATTACTAAGAGGGGCCCACTGATATGAGATGGTGATGTCTGGTTAGCTTTAATTTGTAGTATAGGCAGGACTTTGTATTATGGAGGTATAGCTCTACCATTACTAAGAGGGGCCCACTGATATGAGATGGTGATGTCTGGTTAGCTTTAATTTGTAGTATAGAAAGGACTTTGTAGTATGGAGGTATAGCTCTACTATTACTAAGAGGGGCCCACTGACATGCAATGGTGATGACTGGTTAGCTTTAATTTGTAGTATAGGTAGGACTTTGTTGCAATTCAACTTTAGAAGAAATATGAATGTTGCGGACAACACGAGGTTAAAAAAATGCAATGTATGTTTGGGGTTTGAATAAGATGTTTTATTTTTGATTTGTTTGCAGATGTCAAAAGTATTATAATAATAATGAAATGTTCATTTTATGTGCCAAAGTAAGGGGGGGGGGGGGGCACAAACATGTTATGTTTTTGAGAAACTACAGAAGAAGAAAAAGTTGTTTACAATGTTACATACAACAGACTTTAAAAATTCATTCATAAATTCATTCTCAGGTGGTAATAATTAAAATTAAAAGGGATTGAAGATAAAAGATATGAGATTTTAAGAAGAGATTGTTTTTAAAATATTCCAAATAGGATTTTTTTTAGAAAGTGACATATCCTGTTCTATATTTCCAGTTGGTGCCAGCAGAGAGCAGTACGTCAGATACCCAATCACAATGTACGGATTCACAGTCGGGGGATGTACAGATGCCTTCCGAGAGGCTTGGTGGTATTGGGGACAGTCGGCCGCCATCTTTTCAGTGAGTCGACATAAGTCACAGTATTAATGTAGATATCTGTTTTGATGGTTACATTCATGCTAACTCTGTCATATGTATATATGTAATGGAGTTAAAATGAAATTCATCTGCTGAAGGTCTACAGAAGCATTTTGCAGCAAACAAGAAAGAAATGGTTTGCAGAATAATAAGATGTTTTAGAATGTTTTTCTGATTGGATGATATATTATCTTGGTTTGTGAAACTTGTTAGATGAAGTCATTATAACCTATATTAGTATACCCAATATGGGCAGAATATGGGCATAGAGTAATTTTACAGATATTGCTTATCTTTAGGGAAACCTGTGGTAAAATAATCACTTATCAGCATGAAATTAATTGATGTATACATATAGAAAAAGAATGAAAACAATATTTGGAGATACATCTGGAAAAGTTGCTGCTGTTCTTAAAAATAAATCGAGAGGTTATAAAAGAACATTGAAAGAAATTCAGATGCAACCAGGAAGAATTTATTATAAATACAGACAATTCCTTTTACTTTTAGCATCAGGCTTAAGTTTCCCGTATATTCCTTAACTTAGTATTATTGAGTTCAGGAAAGTTGCTTTCTGAAGGAAATTTTCTTAAGTTAGGGAATGTTGGAGAAACAAGAATCAGTATGCTAACGAAATAGTACTGCTTTAAACGGAAGAAGGAGAATTAGGGATGAGGACTTCTAAAAAAGTAAAATTGTTGGACAGAATTTAACCTTGGAAATCTATTTTGCAGTGCAAATGCGTCTGTCGTAAGTCGAGATCAGAGCTGTGACACGTGTACGGAGACCGACTCAGTCCTGAGTTCACGACGAGGTAGGTGGCGCCACCGTAGATGTTGTGTGTCTGTATTCAGGCTGTATCTATGTATGCTTGCACTTTTATCTGCTTGGTGTTTGCTATGTGATGAATGACTTCAACTTATGTGTGCTTTTGGTTACAGGTCAGAAACGCTTATGCCTAACTTGTGACCTCAAACTTTGCCTGACAGGTACTCGTAGTATTCAAATTTTAAAAGTTGACAGGGAAACAAAGTTATTACCAAAACAATTCTACACAAACAGTACAATTTGGACTAGGTTTCAAGCTTGGTAACATTACTGTATCAAAAGCAAAAAAAATCTCCTAATTTTGAATGATCAAGGAATTCTTTTTGAAGAAATCTTGAGTGGTATTAAGTTGAATTTTCTTCAGTTAAACAATTTACATTTCTGTATAAAGTTATCAATATCACAGTCTGTTTTCATAGTTTAACATCTAGTTTATATTAGGTGTGTAGTTGTGCATTTTTCTAAATCATTTGTAGTCCACATAAGCTATCATTTTTAGCTCACCTGCCCGAAGGGCAAGTGAGCTTATGTTATGGTGCGGCATCCGTCGTCCGTCCGTCCGGCGTCCGTCTGTCCGGCGTCAACTTTTTGCTTTAAACAACTTCTTCTCAATAACCAAAAGGCCTAGGAAGATGATATTTGGCCAGTAGCATGCTGGGATGAAGGGCTACCAAGTTTGTTCAAATAAATGACCTTTACCCACTTTCAAGGTCACAGGGGTCAAATATGTTAAAATCTTCAAACAACTTCTTCTCAATAACCAAAAGGCCCAGGGTACTGAAATTGGGCCTGTAGCATGCTGGGATGAAGGGCTACCAAGTTTGTTCAAATGAATGACCTTGACCAACTTTCAAGGTCACAGGGTCAAATGTCGTAAAATCTTCAAGCGACTTCTTTTCAATAAGCAAAAGAGCCAGGGTACTGAAATTGGGCCTGTAGCATGCTGTGATGAAGGACTACCATGTTAGTTCAAATGAATGACCTTGATCCACTTTCAACCTGATGTCCTTGTTCAACAATCAAGGTCAGAGGCGTCATATGTTTAAATCTTTTAATAGGTTCTTATGAAATCTTAAGATTAAAAGTGTTAGATTAATAACAGGTGAGCGATGCAGGCCCATTGGGCCTCTTGTTTTTTAAACAATTGTAAGGAAACTTTCAGTCAGCAGTTGCTAATGTTTTGCAAGACTAACTGTAATGTTCTGTGAGTGGTTACGTCATTAAAAGCTTCAATGCTGTACTTGATTTTGTTCGCAAGATTTTGCAACCTTCATCATGCCATAGTTGGTATAGCAGAGCAGCACTGAAAAGATTTAATTGTCTTTCAGGTCCTTGAAAGGCTTGAATGTGTTTTGAATGTCAATAAATTAGATTAAAGTATGTTCAAGGTCCTTGAGGTGCTTATCGCTGAAGCATATTTGACAGTTTGGTGTTCTCAAGTAGCACTTAGAGATAAATGTTTTAACATCAGTGCAACTGCATAACACACTGTTTGGGCTCAGAGTAAGCTTTTGTTGTGCTGGAGTAGAACAGTTAGACATTCTGTGCCAGGTTTTCATACTATTTTAGCAAGTTTTCTTGTCTTTTGAGTACAGAGTTATGTTACCTAATACCAATAGCCTTAGATATGCTGTTATTTCTAAGTGTCAGCATTTTGTTTGGTCTTTACCTTGGTAGAGTTCAGATTGACATCGACACAGGTCTCTGATATTGAACTAACCCTGTGCAGTGGACAACATGCTTCTGATTTTGTCGAATATGATGCTTCAAAATACAGCAATATTTGATACAGATCTGTATGCTTATATATATGATGGTTTGAGTGGAATTTAATATAAGATATAAAGGGGCAGGGGATTTTGATCAAACCTATGCTTGTGTGTGATGGTTTGACAGGAATTTTAAACATTAGATATTAAACCTCATTTGATTTGGATTATATCTAGATGCGTAAGTGTTTGATGCCGATACAGAAATTAAATGTTGACTAAAAGCCACATTAATATCCATTATGTAAATGCCGTGTCAATGTATAGCTGGGTTAAAGGGCAACACGTCAAGTACATTCTAGAAATAGAGATCTGTGTAAACAATTCCTTATAGAACAAAAACCATTCCTGTTGCTGCTCTTTGGAAATTAAGCAAGTCTAGGTATAAATATATGCTGCGGTATAATTGTACATGGGGGCTGATGCTGCTGTCTTGTTTAATTACCCGGAGACAAAGTGGAGAATTCCTCGCCCAGGTTAACACATGTACATGTCTAGATTAGTGTTAGGGTTGTCTGCCTTGTAATTACAGGCTATTTTGGTGTTACATTAAGTTGTCCAATGTCAGCAGCCATAGAGATGCTAAGGTTTGTCGTACTCTGTGCTGATTGCTGTACTCTTGAGGGTGTTGCTGCCAGTTACATCTGTCTATGTATTATATACTAAAACACAACAGCCGTGTTAATGATAGGTGTTCTGTGTACATGACACTGATTTTAACCACTTCGCTAAATCGCTACACTTGGATACGTTCCTGGGTACCTGACCCAAACATTCACCTCATTTCTAAATAAATGTACTATACATAATTACCTGGGTGCATGACACTAACATCGACCTCATTTCTACACTAGGGTACTTACCTGGGTACATGACACTAACATCAACCTCATTTCTACACTAGGGTACTTACCTGGGTACAAGACACTAACATCGACCTCATTTCTACACTAGGGTACTTACCTGGGTACATAACCCTAACATATACCTCATTTCTACACTAGGCCCTAGTAAATTAATGTATAATAGATGTAATAAGTGTTTGTTTTGTTAATCCAACAGTAGGTACCTCAATTAATCACCTATTGACCATGCTAAAAGGATCTGGTGGTAATTGCTTTGGGCTCCAGTGAGCACGCTTGCCGGACACCTGTGGGCTTGTCGTCCGGTCCCCCTCCCCTCTAATTACAGGCCCCCTGTGGCAATACGCCTATTTTGCAACTGACCAGTGGGGTCATTGCTGGACTTGGGTCAGCTGTGTGATTTAATCAGTGTCAATTTCTTGTGTAAAAAGACCACCTTCAGTACAAATAACAAGGTGATACGGTTCACAGCCTGAAGGTGATACGGGTCAATTAAGCTGATACGGCAGAGAGGATTTCAAACTGAGGGAGAACCCTGTAGGGTACTTACCTGGGTACATAACCCTAACATTCACCTCATTTCTACACTAGGGTACTTACCTGGGTATATGATACTGATATTATTAGAGTACATACCAGAAGTTGGTTTGAATTAGTAGGTCACTGTGACCATCTTCTTTAACCATTTAGGATAACAAAGGAAGTTATTTCCTGGAGCCTAAATCTGTTATCATTTGAGATTTAAGATCACAACTGAAATATGCCTGTCCATCTTTGTATTGCAGAATGAGACATTTGAATAAACCAAAAACAATCACCAACGATACTAATATTTACACAACTGAAACCATATTGTCCCTGGAATGGTCTGTATTTTCTATAGTAATTTGTCTCTGATCCTGAATTCTCTATTTTATATTATAATTGTTTTTAAAACAGACTACATGTGTTATTGAACACAGCTGTCATCTTCAATTCACACACATGATATAAAGTAACAGTTTTCCGTATGGTAATCTCCTACAGCACTAGCTCATGTGGAAATCTGAAAAACCAAGTTTAGCATGGAATGACAAATTCATTCCTGCTCAGCAGTGCACACATGTCAGCAGAGTACAGCAGTATTGTTGTGAAGCAAGTACTTTAGAATTAGGCTAGAAGTGTGAACTGTAGCCCAGCAGGAGAGGGGCGTTGTTATGTAACAGTTGTATAGACCAGTAGTATAGCACTCAACTCACCCTGTTTACAAAGCTATTCCACAGGTCTTACCCGGGAAAGCCTGATGTGTCCATCTCATCGCTAAAACAGATATTAATGTTTAAAATTTCATTCGGTTTAGGTAAAGGTTTCATGTATATAGAATGCACAGGGACAGCAAAAAGTAAAGGTTTATCATTTATAGTGTAATGAGAATTAAGATGGAATATAAGAAGCTATATATAGATCATACAGGTAGACAAAACAAAATCTTTATGCAAATTTATTATCGATATAAGCACAATCTGCAGCTGCCAAAAGCTCCAATTGTAGCTGAGAGTAACGCGGAAAATGTTTCATTTACAGGATTTTTGAGAAAGGATTGTTCACACAATGTTTTATGGGAAAATGTGACAATGTTCCATTTACAAAATGTTTTGTGGGAAAAACGTTTCATTCACAGGGTGTTTTGTGAGGAAATACTCCTAGTGATACGACTTTGCAAATGTATATTGATAATTTTGCGTGATATTTCATATATAGTTTTGTATATGATACATCACGATGTATTATTCAGGTGCCTGAATATCGGCTAGATGGATTGGTATGTGTGTGTTATACAGAGGATAATAACAGGGCTACGGTATTGATCTGAGGGAAGCCAGTAGACGGTCGAACCCTCACCTTCCACCTGTCTACAGTCACGGGGACTGTCTGTCAATAACATACAAGACCTCTGTGTGTAATTGTCTGTCCTCCAGTCGAGGATTCCTATAACATATCGTCTATGTTGGACAGATACACAACACTCCCCAGATTTTGTCTAGCTAGCTCTCTCCTATGTATACCGTTAAAACCAATGTAAATGTCTCATTGATAATGACAGATATTCCAGAGGTTAAAACACAGCAAAAACCTGCACAGAGAAGAACTGCTTGGTACCATTTGTCTGATAAAGAGATAAGTTGGATGTATCGTTCTTTGGCTTAATTGGTAATGACAGATATTTCAGAGGTTAAAACACCGGAAAGACCTGAAAAGCAGGAAGAAAAAGGACTATTTGGTTACCATTTGTTTGATTTACTAGATATTTTGGGGGAGAAATGCTATCGCTCTTAGGGTTTATGAATATTAAGGAGAATTTAAGCAGTAAAAAA